TTTTTATTTTATTATAAGTAATGATTTGAGAAACATGACATCTTGGAATTATGTGAATTTAGGTGTAGATAGTTCTACTATTGATCCTCATACATATTGTGAAGGAAACCACCCGTATAAAAATTATAAAAATATTTCCGAGAGTGAGTTATGTGCACCAACTCAATCTTATTTGTGGAATGTGTGTGATGTGTGTGGTGGTAAAAATGGTCACTTTCATGGTTGTGCTTATATTTCTTATCTTCCCCCAACCCCTTACTATGATGATTCTACCTTTTCTTGTGAAGTTAATAGGAATAAAGAACCTGGGGATGCGGACCTGAAGGAGACCAAGGATATGTTAAAGTACCTTCTGGAACAAAATAATGAGAAACAATTGCAGATAGAAAGGCAAGATGCAACTATTCGCAACTTGGAGGCTCAAGTGAGTCAAGTGGTTGAAGCTTTTAATGCTCAGCAAGCCAATTTTGGGGATAGGAGCCAAGAAGAGCGTGAATGTGAGGTGCTAATTGAGGAGGTTAGAGTAGAACATCAACAACCGAGCCGACTACAATTTGAGGATGTCGATGTTGAAGACGTGAGACTAGAGTCAGCGAAGGACATTGAGGATATAAATTTTGTTGACTCTAGTATTATTGATGTTGAGGATGCTGAAAGTCCTGAAGTTCATGTGTGTGAGCGCATTGGTCCTCACTCCAAACATTTTTCTACATTGTGCTTGGATGACGATATGGAAATAGAGTTATCCGAGCCGATTGAGAAATCAAGGAATGAGGAACAAGGTGCCTACATTCTGGAATTTTTCTTGCCAGAAAGACAGGACTACATACCTCATCAAAAAGCCAAGAAGTGTAGAATAGTACAAAGGTTGCTTGGGCCAATTAGATTTGTTCCTCCACCCCTGGAGCATAGTCGAAAACTTGACGCCAAATTGGGGGTTCAATTCATAAGCTCAAGGTGGAGGCAGAAAGTGATTCACGTCGTGCCGCGACGTTAAATCAAGCGCTTGTTGGGAGGCAACCCAGCTTTACTGCTTTCTTTTATTTATTTTGTGTTATTTTTTAATTGTATTATTTTTGTAGTGTCAATTTTTGATTTTCCAGGAGCATGGAAAGCAAAGCTATTGGATGGATGCAACAGCAAACCAGATGGTTGGAACTAAGTGTGAGGTACCCGCACGAAGGGCCAAGCATGGGAGAAGTCTGAGTACCCCATGAGCTGCTAGTACTTCGGCCTTTGGCCTACCAGGGAGTTTATTTTACCCTCTTATAGTTATGATGTGCATTGGGGACAATGCACAATTTTAAGTGTGGGGTGAGGAGATTGTCTAGGTGACTTTCTATGCTACTTTAGCTGTGTTAGTTTAATTGAATAATGCTTTTAAAAAAAAGATTGGACTTTTCCCGACGATGCATATCCTAGAAAATTTTCTTGAGGGATTTAAGTCTAAAGAAAAAAAAGGACAAAAAGATTTTCTTTTGTTAGGTAGTGTAGTAATTACCCTTTGGTTTTTCTTTGTGCCGCGGTTCTTTTCCAAGGGTTTTGTTTGAACCGGGTGTAGTTAGTATTTCTTTTAGGAATAGGAGCCATTGTGTTGTGTTTTGAATTGAATTGCAACGATATCTCTTAACTTTGTTATGCCTTGAGAATAGTAATTACCCTGGTTGTGACGTTTAGGCTCAGTTTTTGACTCTTGTATTAGTACCTTAAATTGTATGATCTTAACTTTACTTAACTGCTTTGACTAGAGTGTCTTGATGAAACCAATCCTGAGTGAGTTATGTGCCATGTGTGTGTAAGGATTTGTTATATTCTGTGCATTGCATTTGATGCCTAGAACTTGCCCTGTGTGTTTGCAAAGCGAAATAGTAGTTTTGTTCAGTCTTGGAAGTGATATAGGCGTTTCTTTGTTGAGCCAGGTATGTATATTTTACCCACCTAATTGTTATGTATCGTAGTTAACCCCTCTGAGCCTGTAATCTTGTTTGTTTGGCAACCACATTACAAGCCTTTCCCATTTGTTTGAATTAATCATCTATTTGAACCTTTTAACCTCTCATGAGCACTTGAATTATTATGAACTGTGTAAAAGTTAAAGTGTGGGGTGGTTGGTTTGGCTTTTGAGTGGAACTAATGAAATAAGGAGAAAGGTGCACTGTTTGAAAAAAGTAAGAGCCACTTGAATTGAAAAAAAAATAGTTGGATTGTTGTGAAAAAAAAAATTCCTTGATAAGTGGTGGCTCTTGATGTAAGTGTGCTTAAAGAAGAATGGGGTAATATACATTGATGTGAAGGTGGAGTTTTGGTTTGACATAAGTATGGGGTTTGAATGTCAAAGTATATGTACTAAAGTGCTTAGTGAGGTGTAGTCAATCTTCTATCTAAATGTATCCTACCCGTCCCGTAGCCTACATTACAACCAAATAAAGTCCTAATTAATCCTAGATTGAATAATCTCGATTAGTGGAGTAGTACACTACGGGTAAGCCTATGGTGCATCTTTTGTAGCATATGAATGTTATTTTTGAGAGCGAGTGAATTCTTTCTATCTTGAGTTCCTAAGTGTTCTTAAATTTTATTGTGTGGAACTACTCTCTTTTGTTGTGTGAGGGCATTTGATTCATGAAGGAAAGGTAATATCAGTGACCTCTATTTAGAGTAAGTGGGTGAATTGTGAATAATGCGTGGTAATTGTGAGTCAAATCTTGAGGTGAACATGTTATACTTTTGTGCTTAGTCTATTTTAAATACTCTTGGTGTGATGAGTTAGGAGAATTATATAAAAAGGTCGTGTCTATATAAAGTGTAGTTTGATTGCTTGAGGACGATCAATGGTTTAAGTGTGGGGTGTTGATGATAGACTATAATTACGTATTTGTCACGACCCAATTCCCAAACCCGATCGTGATGGCGCCTCTCGTGGAGACAAGGCCAGCCAGAACAACGCAACACCTCTTTCAAAGCAATTAATTAATATTAACAGTTCTAACACATGCTTAATATAGTCACTAATGCGGAATCAGCGATAGAACAAAGGAAAACCATCTCGACACAGCCCAAACCGGGGTGTCACAAGCCATGAGCTACTACAGAGTTTGCTATAAGTCTACAAAGAGTAATATCCGGTACAATAGTCAGAAGAAAACATAAGTGATATAAGATAGGGGAGACAAGGGGCTGCGGACGTCAACAGCTATCTCGTATCTCCAAATCGCTGCCTGGTCTGGAAGGAAATCAGCGCTCAGGTGCGGACTCTGCTATGTCTGAATCTGCACACATGGTGCAGGGAGTAATGTGAGTACTTCCGACCCAGTGAGTAATAATAATAAATAATAACTGAAGGCATGAAAACACATAACTGCACAAAGCAATTCTATATCAGGCAGTAAAAACAGTAAAACAGTGGAACAATAAAGAGTCGAATGAAATCTCCTTTAAAAATCAGGTAAATTAGGTAAAACAACAAGTAAATAGTGAGTAGGAATCTGCCCCTCGGGGCCCAGTATCAATCGCTCAGAACAGTATCAGCCCCTCGGGCTCAGTATCAATCACTCAACATAATATCAGCCCCTCGGGCTCACTCTCATATCACATGGGTACCCGCGCTCACTGTGGGTGTGCAGACTCCGGAGGGGCCCCTTACGGCCCAAGCGCTATAAAATCACAAGGCCTGAAAGCCTTCTCACATCACACTCGAGGCCTGAAAGCCTCCTCACTATCACTCGAGGCCTGAAAGCCTCCTCACAATACACTCGAGGCCTGAAAGCCTCCTCACAACACTCGAGGCCTGAAAAGCCTCCTCACATCACGCTCAAGGCCTGAAAGCCTCACTCAGTCCAGAACATCATAACCCCTCGGGCATCAATAACATAATAGTCTCAGCCCAAACAACAGTAAAATATCCTTAAAATCTCAGAATTCAATTAAAGTGGCTGAGTTTGCAAAACAGTATAATCATTAGGACTGAGTTCAAATAACGTATCAAGTAGTGAGGAACTAGTGAAAACAATCCCCGAAGGAGTCAAATAATCGGCGTTAAGCCCAAAACATGGCAATAAGCCCAAATCATACTGATAAACAAAACAGCTCAGTCAAATACGCGGTAAAATATCAACCGGGACGGACCAAGTCGCAATCCCCAGTAGTAACAACCCCGCGCTCACCATTAAGCGCGTGTTTCACCTTAATATAGCACTACGTTGTGCAAATCCAGGGTTTCAAACCCTCAAGATATCATTTACTATCATTACTCACCTCAAGCCGGCCAAAATCCTAGCTCGCTATGCCCTTGCCTCACGAATCAACCTCCTCGTGCGTAGAATCTGATCAAAACCACAAGGAATACATTACAATAGGCTAAGGGAACACAACCCAATCGAAAAGACTCGAAAAAATATCGAAATTCACGAAGTTGGCAAAATCCGAGCCCCAGGCCCACTTCTCGAAAAATCAGAAAATTCACATCACCGGATTCCTCGTCTCGCCACGAGTCTATACATACCAAAAACTCCCAAATCCGAGCCCAATTGACCCATCAAACCCCAAATTTTCATTTCAAAAGTCAAGCCCTAATTCTTCCCTTTTTAATCAAATTTCCATGAATTTAAGTGTTGAATCCACAATTAAATGATGTTTCTAGGCCATAAGACTCACCTCCAATCGATTCCCAGTCAAAACCCTCTTTAATCCTCGTCAAAAGCTCTCAAGGTTACTCAAAAATGGTGGAAATAGGACTTGGTTCGCGGATGAAATGTTATTAAAACCATTCTGCCCAGGTGAATTTTTACCCTATGCGATCGCATGAAAATCCCTGCGATCGCGATGCACATTACTCTTAAGCTATGCGAACGCGGGCCCCCGGACGTGATCGCAAAGAACAAAGCGACCTGCCCTCGAATTCCTTCTATGCGATCGCACAGACACTACTGTGATCGCGATGCATTAACTGATGACCCTCTGCGATCGCAAAAACTTGAACGCGATCGCATTGAACAAATCTCTTATCTCTCCAGTTGCTTATACGCGATCACGACATCACCCCCGCGATCGCGTTGAACAAAATCTCTGCAACAAATAGCTGGAAAAACCTGCAACCTTCAAAGGCCGAAATTGGTCCGATTGACCATTCGAAATCACCCCGAGGCCCCCGGGACCTCAACAAAAAGCACAAACATGATCCAACACCTTATTCAAACTTGCTCGAATCATCAAAACACTACAAATAACACCTAAACCATCAAATTACATCAAATTCAAGCCTAAGTTCATCCAAATCTTCCGAAACTCGCATTCGATCAAAAACCCAACCAAAACACCTCCGAATGATCTGAAATTTTGCACACACACCCAAAATCGCCTAACGAAGCTACATCAACTCTCGGAATTCCATTCCGACCCTTAGATCAAAATCTCACCCATCAACCGAAATTTGCCAAAATACTAACTTCGCCAATTCAAGCCTAATTCTACACCGGACCTCCAAAACCAATTCCGATCACACTCCTAAGTCACAAATCATCCTCCGAAGCTAACCAAATCACCGAAAATCACATCCGAGCCCTCTAACTCACAAGTCAACATCCGGTTGACTTTTCCAATACAAACCTTCCTTAAAGAGACTATGTGTCTCATTTCCATTCAAAACCAATCCAAATCGACTCGTTCACTCAAGACTCTTATAATAAAATATGAGGAAGCAAAAAATGGGAAAAACGGGGCGGTAACTCACGTGACGACGGGCCGGGTCATCACAGTATTTTAGTCAATTATAACACTCTAATTTACTGCACTTTAGTTGAGTTTGCGCTTTAATCGCTAGTGTTTTGCACTAAGTGTGTGTTTTATGCCTTGTAGGAGTGATTACGAGCTATGTAGATGTTATGGAATGGATTCAAGTGATTTGGAGCTTTGATGTCTGAATAAAAGCCCAAGGAATTAAGCCGGGATCGTATTCGGGGATCAACGGATGATAGAGCAACAAAACAAAGAATCGAGTAGGCATATTGTGGACTGTCTAGTAAAATATACATAACTTTTCACTCATAACTCCATTTGGGCTCCACAATTTATGGTTGGAAAGCTAACTCAAAGGGCTACAATTTTCATGTTTTACGTTTTTCCAAATTCCAAAAGGAACAGGGCAAAAAACGCGGTCGAAACCGCGACCTCGGACCTAAGGCAGGCTGAGGCAGTACACTTGCCAAATACCGCGTCCGTACCGCGGTTGACCGCGGCTGCGGCTGTCCAGACGTGAAAAATTGTCCTTTTTCGCGCACGAGAAGGTATAATTGTTTGGGCCCAACCCTACTTGGTATATATACACGGAAAAACAGTATTTTAAGAGATTGGACACACTTTTGACATAATTTAGACCTAAGGAGGCTAAGGAGACCAATTTTTGACACAGATTCGACTTATGGAGGCAGAGACACAATAGGAGTAAGGCGGGGAATTCTTCAACGAGTTTTTCCTTCCTCTTCCTATTTTTCGTTGTTGGTTATGACTTTTAGTATTGTAGTATTACATACTATTATGAATAACTAATTTGTTATCTAGGGTTTTGATAGAACCTTTTGTAGGATAAATTCTTGTTATGTTTTTTTATAATTGAGCGGTTAGATTTCTCTACTTGTTCAACTACGTGTTTATTGTTGTTGATTGAATGGCCATCGATTGATTGTGCCTATTTATTTTGTGTTGCTTGAGAAAGGATACATAGTTAGGTGGTTGTTGAACAACGTCACTCCTAACGTATGTGAGAAATCAATACAGCGGGTTTAAAGGTAGGTTTAGAAATAACAAAGCCTTGACGTGGTCATAATGAGCGGTTAGATAAAGCCAACTAGCGTAGTTCGAGAGAATATGTGTAGTAAATTGTCGTAGTTGCTCGAGAGAGAATTACGACACCTAAAGTGCTCACGATCAGTAGAGAATATCATTGGCAAAATTGTAGGGAACATAGCTAGAAGGATTCCGACAATTGGGGAAATCATAACTCTAGACCTCCTTAATTTAGTCTCCAACCCTTTGTCTCGTTAGTTGATAATTTTACCGTTTTCTAGTATTTGCTAGTTAATTAGTTAGAAATATAAATCTCAATCTTTATAATTTATAAAATTGTTCAAACTCGTCTTTTTAGTGATATTAAACAGATATAGCTAAGCCTTAGTTCTCTGTGGGATTCGACTCCGGACTTTTAGACCGGATTATATTTGCAGCGACCACTTATCCTTTTTAGGACTAGAGTTGGGCGTGATCATGGTTATAAAAATATATAATTTATTTTAATACTAGTCGCTAGGCAATGGATGCTAAGTGTAAGTAAAGAAAATAAGGAATGCAAACCGATAGGGTCACAAGGCTGGGCCTCGAGCTAGCTGGAGCAGGGCCTCGAGGCTAGACGGGGCTAATAGCAATGAACAATTGATGAAGAATCAATGATAATGAGGGCCTCAAAGATGGACTTTTGTGGTTAATAATAAGCAATAAATGAAGAACAACAAATGAACAGTGAATGAACAATGAATGAATGAGCAATAAATGTGAAAAACAGTTATGGTAGCAAAGAGCAGAGAATGTTGTATTGTATTCAATGTGTTCAATAATAATCCGATCCCCTTACAAGATTACAAGGGTCCCCTTTATATAGGAGGGGGGGTCCCAACACAGTACATGTCTAATAATGACGGAAAAAGTCTATTGGTACAACTATATAATGGCTCAGTACTGATTTGTCCTATTCTTGCAGGCCCTGTCAGTTCTGGTCACCTGCCCTTGGAAATTTCCCGCCTTTCCATGATGGTCGTCGAATTTCATGCTGCCTCGAGGTATCCTATGACAAGTCTTCGATATACCCTCTCGAGGCGAGTGCTTCGGGGACGAGCCCCGGACTGTGCTTCGAGCCTGTCGAGGCCAGGCTCGAGATGCCATAGAAACCTCAAAATCAGTCTTCCCTGATTCTGACCGTATACATTATACAAGAAAATACAGTCTAAGCAAATATAATAAAAACAACACGAAAAGTGCAGAGAAATTATATTAAATTAAATTAAATTTCAATTTTATCTTACTCTGTTACTCTTGTAGATTTCCTTACACATCGACTATCTCCTTCTTAAGTTATCACTTTGTCTGAAGATTTATACAAATCGTCACTATTGAGTACTGCTTCATTGTTTTTTTAACTTCATTATTAGCAAAAATAAACTTTACATTGAATATATATATATATATATATATATATATATATATATAGGCTATAGAAGCTTTCAAAAATGCTTTCTCCTTACTCATGGCATTTTGTGGTCATGCAACAAGAATTTATAATTATATCCACTTTTTTATGTATATTAGTACATTCTAATTTGTAGAATTTCTTTAACGGACTCTGATTGGCCTGGTTTTTCGTGGGTCCATAGAAAATGACCTAGTGACTAATACTCATTACTTCTCTATAACTGTTGGATTCATTTTTTTTTTTGGTATATAGGGTCATAGAATACGAATTTATGATTCTTTTTATTTATTTATTTAAACCATCCACCCAGGTTTTCATCTCCTGTGGTGTTGGGGGGTTTGGCATTGACCGCTACCCTGTTTATTCATTAGCAAAATAGTACAAAGGAGGGGGACCCAAAACCTCCCATTGGAGCACTGCCAACAGAAATGTAAATGGCTAGGCCTTTACAAGTATAAGAGAGCTACTATGATGGGATGTGAGTTCAGCTCAGCAGTAGCCCTTCCTTTATCATTTAAGGTGGCTCAAAGGTCCATCCTGAGTGTTTTCTTGGCCTAATTCTGAAATTTGGGACCTGCAATCTATTCATAGTAATGGCTCTTTTGGCCTCTGTAGGTAGGTCATTTTCGTTAAGGAAAATAACCTGCTTACTGAGTGTAGTAGCGTGTTTGGACAAAGCGTCGGCCACTTCATTCCCTTTTCTGTAGCAATGCATGATCTTGATACCATGTTGTTGTACTTTTTGTTGTATTAGAGTAACGTCTTCTTTAAGTCTCCATGGGGTATTGTATGTCCCTAAAATCATGTTGACAACTAGAAGAGAATCCAGTTCCAAGCTTAGATCTTGACAGTTATGGTCGCAACACCAAAGAATACCAAATAGAGCCGCTTGCACTTCAGAGTAGTTGTTAGTTAAGAAATGCACTAGTGCGGAGAAGGCCTTCACCAAGTGACCATTTCTTTTCCTAACAACACCCCCAGCTTGCTTTGCCTAAGTTTGCGATGAAGCTGTCGTCTGTGTTAATTTTCCACTGATTGCTATCTGGAGGTTCCCATAGAACCATAACACTCTTCAATCTTGTTTTGTAGTCTTCCACTACCTTGCATATTGTATTCCATGTCCCGTTCCACTACGAATTTATGATTATGTTCACTTTTTTGTGTGTATCAACACATGCTTCATCTGAGCTTTTCCAACCTTTGTTTTTGTTGAAACCTTAGTCACTTCTCTAGAAAAAGGACAAATTAGGCTTTCAACGTAGATTTCCATCTCAAACCGGTCATCAATATCAATAACGTTTCAACAAGTCATCATTCGAATTGTAAATCAAAATTTCATCTTTATTTGACATGAATAAGGTTCGTAATAACGAAAAATCGTACTCTTAAGGATTATCAAGATACTTAATGGTAAACATCTTTGTTCAAGATTCTTTAATCCTATACTCCTTCATAATCCAAACATGTAAATGAGTTTCCCTACAATCACGAAAGTTTGAAAGATCACTTGGCAACACTCCCACCTGAATTAACACACAAACATACAGCTACAGATTTTTTTATTTGGTACTGCGAATAGGGCAAAAACTATATAGCATTACAAATAGAGGCAGACTTGAAATGGAGTTTTAGAATTCCATTTTTCAGTTAATTTTACATTCTTACCTTCTCATTTAGAGTTGCACTTGAACATTAAAAAGGGGATTTTAGTGGGCGATGTGCACAAATAGCCACTAACAGCTCATGCCTTTATTTTAAAGCCAGTGTTTTAAATGTCTTTAGTCTTTAGCCACTGGTTTAATAAACTTTAACTGCCCGGACAAAAATACCCTTCTGCTCATATCCTTAACTTCAGGACTTCAGGACTACATGTCCTTAACTTTTGAACTTGAAACTCTAAGTTCAGGACTTCAGGACTACATGTCCTTAACTTTTGAACTTGGAACTCGAACTTCAAGACCAAGCGTTCTTAACTTTTGAACTTGTAAGTCAAAGTTAAGGACCTATTGTCCTTAACTTTTCTACTTGTAACTGTAAGTTAAGTACTGCTTGTCCTTAACTTTTGAACGTGTAACTGTAAGTTAAGGACTGTCTGTCCTTAACTTTTGAACTTGGAAATCAAAGTTAAGGACCTATTGTCCTTAACTTTTGAACTTGTAACTGTAAGTTAAGGACTGCTTGTCCTTAACTTTTGAACGTGTAACTGTAAGTTAAGGCTTTCAAGTCATAAGCTAAAAGGGACGAGTATAAGTTCAAATAACACACTAATTCAAATTCATCACGAGCTTACGGTTAAGAAAAATTAACTTTAGGAAAAAACTGATACTACTACTAAACAAAGACAAACCATGTAATATAGAGAGCCACCATTGTAGAGACGCTTAATGGGTTTGTCAACTGTAGATGAAAGCCTCCGAATAGCTATTGCCATTGCCATAGCAGCTGTCCTCCTTCTGCACACACACACACACTCAAAAAGTTGTGAATGTCTTTGTTTGAAGTGGGGGATCGTGTTTGGATGGTAAGAGAATTTTGCATAAATATTCTGGTCCAATCCACTGTAATTCTGTTTGGGAAGGAAAGGGTAACTCTGTCTTTTCATATTAATTTTAATAGACTAGTGGCTAGTTTTGCTCAGCATTAAAAATAGTGGATAAAAAGTAAATACCACTTTAAATAGTGGCTACCCCACACAATTTTTACGATTGGGCAATGTGCACAAATAGCCACTAACAGCTCATGCCTTTATTTTAAAGCCAGTATTTTAAATGTCTTTAGTCTTTAGCCACTGGTTTAATAAACTTTAACTGCCCGGACAAAAATACCCTTCTGCTCATGTCCTTAACTTCAGGACTTCAGGACTACATGTCCTTAACTTTTGAACTTGAAACTCTAAGTTCAGGACTTCAGGACTACATGTCCTTAACTTTTGAACTTGGAACTCAAACTTCAAGACCAAGCGTCCTTAACTTTTGAACTTGTAAGTCAAAGTTAAGGACCTATTGTCCTTAACTTTTCTACTTGTAACTGTAAGTTAAGTACTGCTTGTCCTTAACTTTTGAACGTGTAACTGTAAGTTAAGGACTGTCTGTCCTTAACTTTTGAACTTGGAAATCAAAGTTAAGGACCTATTGTCCTTAACTTTTGAACTTGTAACTGTAAGTTAAGGACTGCTTGTCCTTAACTTTTGAACGTGTAACTGTAAGTTAAGGCTTTCAAGTCAGAAGCTAAAAGGGACGAGTATAAGTTCAAATAACACACTAATTCAAATTCATCACGAGCTTACGGTTAAGAAAAATTAACTTTAGGAAAAAACTGATACTACTACTAAACAAAGACAAACCATGTAATATAGAGAGCCACCATTGTAGAGACGCTTAATGGGTTTGTCAACTGTAGATGAAAGCCTCCGAATAGCTATTTCCATTGCCATAGCAGCTGTCCTCCTTCTGCACACACACACACTCAAAAAGTTGTGAATGTCTTTGTTTGAAGTGGGGGATCGTGTTTGGATGGTGAGAGAATTTTGCGTAAATATTCTGGTCCAATCCACTGTAATTCTGTTTGGGAAGGAAAGGGTAACTCTGTCTTTTCATATTAATTTTAATAGACTAGTGGCTAGTTTTGCTCAGCATTAAAAATGGTGGATAAAAAGTAAATACCACTTTAAATAGTGGCTACCCCACACAATTTTTACGATTTTAGTCTCACTTGTGATACTCCACCGATGAGCCTTGTTAAATACTTAAGCTACTAATACTTAAGCCTAAATGCATAAGAATTATTTTTATAAAAAGTCAAATCCTAGTACAAAGTTACTTAGATAGGTCCTCTTAAACGAATTTCATCCCAAAATCTCTTTCTCTTATATTCTTGTTTTTGTTACCCCACCCCACCCTCATGACTCATGATAAAACCCGCTAAGTAGATTATATTATAAGGGTAAAAATTATTACCAACTTTTTCAATTGGAAAAGGCTTTGGAGTAACATCTCATGCGCTCAAATGTGAAGACAACACACATAACGCCATGTCAGATCCGAGTATACACCTGTATCAAGTTGAAGTGTCTATATGTGCACTCCCATTTACTGGTCCTCCTTATTTTTCTTTGTCTAGAGGCATATATAACATTCCCTTGAAACACTATTTAAGAATACAAAAAAATTTGTTTAGAGCCATTTAGTTTGAAGTTGAACACAAAATTAGTGTTCCTTGAAATACTGCATAAAGGAAAATTGACTAACAAAGATCTCCTACTAAGTTATCCTATTACTTATGCGTCTTTTCTATATTTAAAATAACAAACATAATTTAAAATAACTTGAGGAAAAAGTACTCTTACAAGTTATTTGCTACTCGATTGTTTTGATCTAAGCTTTTTCTGCCTTTTTTTTTTGTTGTATCCTCAGTTCCCTCTCGTTGAAAAAGGACAAACTAGGCTTTCAAGGTATATTTCCGCCTTGCAATATCCATTGAAATTAATAAACTTAGGATTTTTGAATAAGCCATCCTTGTATATCTTGAAAGTTGATCCAAGCATAACCAAAATTTCACCTTTATTTGACATGAGAAAAGGCGGATTCAAAAAATCATTATTATGATACTCGATGGACAATATTTTCATCCAAGATTCTTTAACCCCATACTCCGTCATAACCCAAAGATCTATATTAGGTCTCCTATATTCAATGACAGATAGATCACTATTCAACACTCCCACCTCCAAAAAATCGGTTCCTTCTCCATAGCAAGGCCCCTCCACCATTTCCCATTTCTCATCAGCCAAATCAAAAGAAATGATGTTCTTGCTGTTACGATTGTAAAAATCAGCATCTGTAGTCCAATGAAGTTTCCCATTCACAAACATCCCTCGACCATTTGCTCGCACACAGCCACCATTATCCCCACTTCTCCAAGAATTACTCTTTAGACTATATATGACCTCGAAACCAGTATTCTTTGGATACTGATAAAACCTAACTACTACCTTATAATCATCATCGAGCTCATCGTATCCAAAACCATATACACGTGGGTAAGCAACCAGCTTCGCAGGTCTAGGATTAGGCAATTTCTTATACTTTCTGATTGATGGATTCCATATAAAATAGTCATTGTTCTGAATGCGGAGACAAATCAACCCATTGACAGAACCTACAAAAGAAAGACTTCTTTCATATGATTTTATGGGACAATCCAAGTCAAAAGCCTTGGTAACAGAATCATAAAATAAAGACCTAAGAGTACATTCTTTAAGATTGTATATATTCTGAGGGTAGGAACTCATAATAACCTTACGGTCGATGTAGTCCTTGTTATTAGCTGATAAGTTAAGATGGGCCTTTATAAATTTATCACCAGAAATTAAAGCAAGCCAAGATTTTGAAACACGCGTGAATCGCAAGAGGGGTTTCACAGGAAGCCTTGAGAGGATTTCAGTAACGAGTTCTGCTGGCAGAATAGGAATTGTCAAGTTTGAATCTTGCCTTAAACCTGATGGATATTGAGCACGCCTTGTGGATTTGCTCGGTTTTAGGTATTGATAGGAGGCTTCATCTACTTTAAACTCCATTAGGGTTGAAAAAAAACTTGAAGTTTGATTTCTTTGGCTATGGAGAAAGGTTTTTACGAGGTTTTGTATATTTTGGTCAGAGCCCTAGCACGAAGTTTCACACCGTGTTTTTGTAGTTTGAGATTTTCCCGAAATTTTAGTAACCTATTGTTAGTAATACTTCTAGGGTTTAGCTAGCCCTTGTGCTTTTATGGTGTAATATTTTCGGAAAATATTAATGTTATCTATATTGAAATTTATTATGACTAATTGAATCAGGAGATCACGGATTCTAGCGATGAAAACAGCGGGTAAGGCTGCATACAATTGACCCATGTGGTCCGTGTGAGCATGTGATTTTTGCCTCGCTTGAATTATTCCTATAGAATTCTTAAAATTAGGATTTTTCTTTTATTATTTGAATTTTAGGGAATTAATTGCATGATTTTGTGTTTGTTTGCATTTTTAAGTGATATAATTCATAAAAAATACAAAAATAGCATACTTGCATTTAGGACCCAATTTCTATATTTTAGTTAATTAACATTACAAAAAATGGAAGAAAAAAAAATATAGTCCTTTTGCATTTTACTTTTAATTTTTGAAAATGAAAAAAAAATGGAAAAAAGAAAAGAAAATGAAAAAATGAAAAGAAATTAAAAGGTCTTAATAAGGACCCATGTTTTGGGCCAGTTTCTGAATAAATCAGTAGCCCAAATGAAGCCAACCTGGTCTCAACCCAACCCAAACCCAAAATCTCACTCGGTCTAGCCCCCCAGATCATAAAACGACGTCGTTTTGGGCTCATTCAATCAGGACCGTCGAGGTTTCTTGATCGGACGGTCCTGAAGCCCCCATCCATAAGTATTTAAGTGTCCAAACGTCACCCCCCCCCCAGAACCCCCCTGCCTCACCATCTCTCAGAACTCTCTAACCTACCGGTGTAATGCCTCCGCCGTCCGCCGTCCGCCGCCGGCCAGAAATCGCCTCCGCCGGCGGCGACTCTCTAATGACCCCCAAAATTACACCATACCTTCCCCTTCACCTCCCCATTCCATATACACCCTCTGTTTTCTTCGAATCCCTCCTGAACTTGTCGAATATTCAAAACAGCGGTCGCCGCCTCCGCCATGTCCGGCGGCGCCACCTCCAAATCTCACCAAATTAACACCATATGACCTCCTTACCCCCTCTTTACGAATCCACAGCCCATAGCCTTCGAATCATCCCTGAGTTTCTCGAATTTCAAATCGTAGAATGGCAGAACCCTAGAAGTTCGAATTGCTCCAATTCTTCCCAATTTCTTGAGTCCAGTGTTGGATTCGAGTCACGAAATAATATTTTCGTTTGTTCTTGGTGAAGAACAAACGTTTCACATTATTCCGAGGCTCGAATCGGGGTCCAGCCTCGTTTAACCATGCGTAGGTGAGTCTTCCTGTTTTTCCTTTATTATTTTAAATTCATTGTTAGTTTAAACTTTGTTTTCTGGGCCTTAAGTCTTTAATTTTCATTTCTTGTTGATTAGTTTAGTTAGAGTGTATCTCATGTTCGTTGATTCTGGTTCTTAGATTTTGGCTTTGATTTTCTTCTTTCTGTTTACATTAATTCCATGCAGTTTCATTTATTTTTAATTTTAGTTTAATTTGATATTAGAATTAATTCCTGTTGTTCAAGTTTAATTCTATAATTAGTTTTGATTTTGATACTTAAAATAGGATAATTAGACTATTAGTTCAATTTTAGGTTTTCTTTTAGTATAATTGAAATTGTTTGGATATAGCTGAATAATCCAGCATTTGTTTTGACTAACCATGGTCAATTTTGACCAAGTTAAAAGGGGCTGGGGTTAGTTAACATATGTTGGTAATTTTAGAACCAATGTAGGGGTAGTATAGGTAGTTCAATGAAAGAATCCTGTAGTAACTGAATTGGAACCCCCTAGAATCTTCTAGAAGGGGGTTCTAATTTGAAATTTAGGAACTTGGTAGTATAACTTGACCAACAAGGCATGATTTGAGGGACTAAATAGTTAAAAACTGAAATTAAAAGAGGGACCTAGGGTGTAAATGAAAATCTGAAGGTTGCCCTAGACTTTGTCTATAAAAGGGCAATACCTTGCCTTACAATACAGGTTTTAGAGGGAGAAAAATGAAAGTTTTAAAAGAGTGGGGAAATCTGAAAAAGTTTTGAGAGGGAAAAATCTGAGAAATAGAAGTTTTAGAAGTTTGAGAAATCTGAAAAGTTTTTAGAAGTTTTGGGGAGATCTGAAAAATTCAAAGTTTTTTGAGAGGTTTTAGAAAGTTTCAGATCTGGAGAAATTCAAAAATTCAAAATTTGAGAAGCCTAGTGAGATCAAAAATTCAAAAATCCAAAAAAATTAGACTTAGAAATACTAAAAATTTCTGAAACTTCAAGCAACAAAAACTCCAAAAAATCACTATTTCATTGAAGTTTTTTAGGAGAATCTTAAAGCTCTAAGTCCTAAATTGAAGTTCCAGTTGACCTAAGGCGAAAAAATGGTTTGAAATTCCTTGTGTTTTGTTAGTCGAAGTTTCAGGAGTTCCTGGGGCCATTTTCAAGTCGAATTTGATCTGTTCGAGCCTGGTTTTTTTGGGATTTATTGGTGTTGGTCATGTGAAATTAGCTATTAGGCTGCATAGTACCATTTCTGGAGTGTCGAAATTAATTGTAAATTGCTGTTGTCTGCTGGTTGCTACTGCTGACTCTGCCTTCCTCTTATTTTCCTCAATTTCCAGGTACACTTTAGCCTCAAGTGATATGTACAATGTGGATCAGCATATGTGACTGAGTTATGAGATGAATAATGAATCAATACCTGTTTTGTTACATGAATTTCATATTGTCATTTAGCCTAGATGTTTAGCTTAATGATGTTATTTGGACAATTGCCTATTCTGTATTAATTGGGACTGTATGGACTGCTTTATTAGCCGTAGTTTAATCAATTTCAGTGTTAGCTATTATGTTGATTTGAAGTTTAAACTAGACTAAAGTGTTAGTTAGGAGTAGAGTTAAAAATGAGCATGTGTACTTCTGCCGATGTGAAGCAAATAGATCCTATAGCTTTGAATATTAAGTTTAAGCTCAAGTTTCAGCAGAAATATAAGCTTAAGTCTAACAAGTAGACAAATGGCTCTATAATTCGGTTCTAATTCTATAATTTTATTTTGGAATGAAAAGTAGCACTTCAGTATAGTAAGCTTTTCCGTTTTGATGTTTTCAATATAAGTTTTGGCTACCTTAGTTTGATCATCGATTTCCCTAAATGTTTGTAGAATTTCATTAATTTAGATAAGACCAGAATATAAAATGTGGAATTAAATTGGCAGTTGTTGAATTGAATGAATCCACAATTTCCCTTTTGTTACTAAATCGATAAAATCAATTTGGAAATCAGTCAATAGCTTTGAAAGCCCTACTTTGCTTTGTCCCCAAATCAACGAATTCAATTTTTGAAATAAGTTCGATAGTATGGTTTGGGCTTGTCGATAAGCCCGGGTTTGACAGTTTGTTCCATTTGTTTTGGGCCCCAATTTTATTGATACCTGGCCAGTTTCAGTCTAGCTTGCCTTCCCAATTGGGCTCATATCAAGGCCCAATGTTGAACATCCTCCCATAAGAACTGACTGCAGTTCGTCACTCTTGGGCTGGTTTTGAAGCCCAAAATACTAGAGGCCTGAATTCCTATTTGAAATCATTAGTTTAATTTTGCAATATAATTTTGGGCCTTCCAAGTTAAGTAGCAAATTTGAATTAAGAGGTTTTCCCCCTTGTTTAAGTTTGGACTTGTTCTTGAGGCCCGAATTCCTTGAATGCTTTTAATAGTAGTTAATTAACAATACTAATTAATTAGGCCTTTAGAGACAATCTTTAATAGGAATAATAGTCCCTTTTAGGATGGCCTTTAAAATAAAATAAGGTGCGCCGCGCCAAACAAAATTCATAAATTGCGTGGCCCTCTTTAATTACTTCTATAAAACACTTAGAAATCGGGATGTGCCATTTAGCGAATTTTCATGGCCTCTCGAAGAGTTATCAACACGTTAGTTGCTTTAGGCGCATTATTTAATAATTTTACCTTCTTAAACTCGGGTGTGCATTTCATGTGACCCAAATCCAAATCCTAAAACGTTGAATAAAATGTGTTGCGGATCCGGGTGCATTTCATGTGACGTGATCCAAAAATACATTTTAAACGACGTTCAAACCTTCTTTAAAATTCATAAAAAAGCGGTAAATAATTTCAATTGCACTATAGGATAAACCTGTTTCAAAATCAGATTTTAAGCCAATTATAAGAGTTTAAGCAACCGTGCTAGAACCACGGGATCCGGGGTGCCTAACACCTTCCCTCGGGTCAACAGAATTCCTTATTCAGAATTTCTGGTTCGCAGACTTCATTTGGAAAGTCAAAAATTTCCTCGATTTGGGATTCAAGATACACCGGTGACTTGGGACACCAAAAGCCAAACATATCCAAAGTGGCGACTCTGAATTAAATAAATAATCCCATTTCGAATAATGTCACTTTAATTGGAAAAACTCCCTTATACATTATCCTTCGGGGTAGGTGTGTAAAAAAGGAGGTGTGACAGCTCTGGCGACTCTGCTGGGGATATGAACCCAGAATTTCGGTTCAGGGTTCAAGAATTCGAGCTTAGAATAGCTGTTATGATTGGCTTTATCTGATTTTCCTACATGTTTCATGCTAAATATGCTAAATGCTTTACCGCTTTGATATTTGGTGAATTGTATATATAAACTGCTACGAAACCCTTCCTCTTTCTGAGTCTTCTACATCATGGAGAAGGGTGCACTTCGTGTGACTTCTCTTCTGTTTAGAGTCTTATCCCATTTAGAACAAGGTTTGGACAAGTTGCTAAACCGACGGAGCTTCTGTATCCCCGGTACGCTGCCCCCACTCGGCTCGAGTTGTCCGCTCGGGTAAGCCAGGTCTAGAACAATAAACCCAGGTTTTAAACCTAGTATAACAAAGCCTC